ACTGCCTCGTGCCCGTAGGAGTCTGCATCTGCTCATTAGCGAGCTAAGATGGCCGCTCGCCAGCCCATAGCCCCCAAACGCCACGCTTCAGAGGACACCGCTCCAGGTCCTTCCTCAGCGGGGCCATCCAAAAAATCTAAGAAAACCACCTCCACTAAGGAGGAAAAAGTGGCGGCGGCTCAGGCTAAAGAGGAGCTTCAATTGCACCAGGCAATCAAACGATCTATCCAAAAGTCCATCAAGGAGGCATCTGTTAGGGAGTTCTCAATTTCACCTGCTCCGGGGACTCCTCAGTCAGGGCTAGCTCCTCCATTACCCCCGGCCCCTCCCACGCCTGAAAAAGTTGTGGATCCTCCTCAGGCTCTGCCTCCCTTGTCTCCGGATGGAGGTGAATATGCTTCTCCCCTCCAAGGGGAGGTTCGGGAGGCTCTTTTTGGGCCTCAGTTGGAGCCTACCCCACCAAGGGCCCTTACTGTGATCTCAGCTCCGCCCTTAGAGCCCCCTGCCTTGCAGGCCTTGTTTGCTGAGGGTTTTTCAGCTGCCCCAATATTTCTCCGGACCTAATCTCGTACATTCAGGACGCAATCCAGCAAGGGGTTCAGGCAGAGTTACAACACAGAACCTCCTCTTGGGTTTCAGGCTCTGCCTGCTCCCACATCGATGTAGAGGGCTCTCACTTAGAGGAGGCCAGGTTCCAGCTGGGGTCGCGGCTCCATCAGTCGCTTCCTTCGAACATCCCTCCTTTACAGAGGAGGATGCACGGAACAGGGATCTTTCTGATGATGAAGACTTGGCCCCCGACCAGCCATCCTTCGTGGGCTTATTCAAACTCCAACTATTTAGATCCCTTCTGCATAAAGGAAAATTGACCACCTGGCTGGGAACATCGCAACCCCTTTCTTCCCTGGGGGAGGACGCGGGGACTTCGGTACCTCTCTTTGAGGAACCAGTGATAGAGACTGAGGAGATCCCGGGGCCCAAGCTTTTCAGGGATGTCTTAAAGAAGCAGTGGTCGGCTCCAGCCTCGGGGCCTAACCCCAATCAACTGGACAGACCCCTTTATAACCTCGCCCCGGAGTTAGCTAACCTCCTCCAAATTCCAATCGTAGACCATCCGGTGGTGGCTCTTTCGGCTTCCTCCAATCTAGCTGGTCCTCCCGAGGATAACCTCCGCCCGGAGGACAAACGCCTCAAACAATCCTTGGTTAAATCTCATCAGGCCTCGGCCTGGGCAGCTAAATCTGCCATGGCCTCATCATTTTTCAACCGGGCATCCATCTTGTGGCTCCGGCAATTACAGGATAGGCTTCCCGCGTCTGATACTAGGTCCCATCAGGACCTTAACAAAATCTTAGCTGCCCTAGAGTTCTCCCCTGACGCGACCCTTAACTCGTCCGGATTTGCAGCTAAGGCGATTGGGTCCTCTGTGACCTCTCGCCATTTACTATGGCTCCGCAATTGGCAGGTGGATGCCAAATCTAAATGGCGCTTGGCCTCTTCCTCATTTGACGGCCCTTCTCTTTTTGGAGCCCCTTTGGAACCATTGCTAATAGAATCAAAAGACAAAAAACGTATCCTTCCTAATGTCTCCAGGAGATCGGAACAGCGGTCCTCCGCTGTTCTGTTTCACTCCTTTCGTCCCTTTGATTCCTCCTACTCAGGGGCGCGGTCACCCAGGGCCTTCCCGCCCCGGTCTCGACCCCCGGACCGCCAAGGTTCTCAGGCCCATAGAGGACACTTCAAGCGCCCATTCTGGGGTGGCCGCGGCCAGCCATTCCGCAGGTCACGCTAACTGTACATCCAGCCCTCCCATTGCGGGCCGCCTGGCTCTCTTAGCCAGTGGGAGGCAATAATATCGGATGCTTGGGTCTGGGAGACGGTCAGGTGGGGCCTCTCCCTAGAATTTCTCTTCACTCCTCCCGACAGGTTTCTCCGATGCCCTCTTTCTCGGGATCGGAAGAAACGGCTCCTGCTGGTAGCGGCCATTCAACATCTCTTAGAAATTCAGGCCATCGAGCCGGTACCGCAGGAGCAGCACGGACAGGGCTTTTACTCCCGCCTGTTCGTCGTTCAGAAATCCTCGGGAGGCTGGAGAGCCATTCTAGACCTCAAGTCACTGAACCACTGGGTAGTTTACAGGCGGTTCAAGATGCAGTCCCTCCAAACCATTCTGGAAGGTATCAGAATCGGGGACTTCCTCACGTCAGTCGACCTGATGGAGGCTTACTTACATGTCCCCATCCATCTGGCTTATGTCAAATTTCTTCGGTTTTCTCATGCGGGTCGCCACTACCAGTACCGCGCCCTCCCATTCGGTCTTTCCCCGGCTCCCCGAGTGTTTACGAAATTGATGGCCGCTCTTGCGGCATACCTCCGAGCCCGACCGGTCCGTATCCAGTGCTACCTAGATGACCTTCTTATCCAGTCGAGCTCGGAGGCTCGGGCGCATCAGGATCTGGAATCCATCCTCCAGGTCCTGACGGCTCATGGCTTCTCGATCACCAGAGCCAAGAGCCATCTGATACCCACGACCTGCATCCAACACCTCGGGACTATTATCGATACGGTCGAGAGCAGGGTCTATCTTTCCGAGGAGTGTCTGTCCAGCTTGCGGTCTCTGGTCAGATCTGTTGCTTAGGGTACTCCGGTCTCCCTGGCGACATTTTCTCACCTCCTGGGAAAGATGGTATCATGCATTGGCATTGTGCCATGGGCCCGTCTCCACTGTAGGGCCCTGCAGTGGTTTCTTCTCCCGTATCAGAAGTCTCGCATTTTGGCCTCCACCCAAATTGTTCGCCTTAACCCGACTGTTCTTCAGTCCCTCTGATGGTGGTCTTCCCGGGCCCTTCTCAAGGGGAGGGAATTCAGGGAGCCCAATCAGATTATTCTAACAACGGATGCCAGCCTTCACGGCTGGGGGGCTCCCTGAATTCCCTCCCCTTGAGAAGGGCCCGGGAAGATCACCATCGGAGGGACTAAAGAACAGTCGAATTAAGGCGAACAATTTGGGTGGAGGCCAAAATTCAATCCTACATGGCCCAGGGTCTTTGGACCCCAGAGGACTGGGGCCACAACATAAACTGGTTGGAGCTCCGAGCCATCCACCTGGCTCTCTGGGTCTTCAAGGACATAGTCAAGGACCGACACGTGATTGTCCGGATGGACAATGTGGCCGCCAAGGCCCATGTGAACTGCCTGGGGGGACCCACTCTCGCCGACTCATGGAGGAGGCCGAGAGACTGGGAGTCTGGGCGGAGATCAATCTGAGATCCCTGCGGGCATCTCGTATTTCCGGACTTGTCAACACTCAACCCAATTGGCTGAGCCACTCTGCGATGGACCACGCCGAATGGCAGCTCGACCCGACTCTGTTCCTGAGGATAACACACCGAATCGGAACACCGATTGCAGACCTATTTGCAACGCAGGACAATAGCCAGACGGACCGATTCTTCTCCAGGTTCCCGGATCTGATGGCGGAAGCCGTCGATGCCCTCCATTGCAGGTGGCCCTCGGGCCTCCTCGATGCTTTCCCCCCCACCTCTCCTATCCAGGGTCATCTACAAGCTCCTGGAAGAGCGGGCAGAACTAATCCTCGTAGCGCTGGCCTTGGTTTGCCGATCTTCAGGCTCTGTCGGTTCATCCTCCTTGGCGTCTTCCTCCCTCTGACGTCATTCTTCGTCAGGGCTCACTTCGCCATCCAGACACTGCCTGGCTCCAGCTGACCACCTGGTGGTTGAGCGGCAACTCCTAACGAGCTCTCAACTGCCGGGTCACGTGGTCGATACCATCCTGGCGGCTTGCCGCCCTGCCACGATACGAATATACGAAGTTACCTGGTGCACTTTTGCGAGATGCTGCGCATCACAAGGTCTGGACCCGCGATTGGCTTCCACCACTCAGGTACTGGTTTTTCTCCAGAAGGGGTTGGATGCGGGTCTCGCCCCCAATACTTTACACAGTCAAGTAGCGGCTTTATCTTCTATCCTCTGTTGTGGGTCTTGGCACTCCCTAGCCCATCGTCCTCTGATACGGCTGTTCCTAAGGGGGCTTCGAATCTTCGACACCCGCCCATTCATCGCTACCCCACTTGGAACCTGCCGAAGGTGTTCCGACGCCCTTACACGAGCCCCTTTCAAGCCTCTCCGCACGATGGGATTGAGGTTCCTCTCTTATAAGTTCTCCTTTTTAATTGCCATTATCTCCGCCCGGCGAATTTCAGAGTTGGCGGCCCTCTCCTTGAGGGCAGACCTTTGCGTGTTCCACCTGGATAGGTGGTCCTATGCTTGGACCCGACCTTTATTCCCAAAATCAACACACCGTTCCACAGATCCCAGGAACTGGTACTACCTGACTTTTGCCCCCACCCGGCCCACCCCAGGGAACGGGTTTGGCACTCCCTGGATGTTCGCCGAGCCCTACACATTTATTTACGTCGAACATCTTTCCGTAGGTCGGAGGCCCTTTTTGTCTCTTTTCAGCCCTCCTCTCTGGGCCTCAGGGTTTCTTCCCCCACGGTGGGATGTTGGTTACTGGCCACTATCGCCTCGGCCTACGAGGCCCAGTCCCTTCCGGCCCCTAGGCGTATCACTGCCCATTCCACGTGGAGTGCGGTAACTTTGGCGGCATGGGCCACCCAGGCCTCCCTGCAAGATGTTTGCCGGGCGGCCACTTGGGCATCCCCGACACCGTTCATCCGCCATTATAAAATCGATAGCTTCGCTTCGGCGGAGGCGGCCTTTGGCCGTCGGGTGCTCCAACAGGTCTGTGTGGACCAGGCCTCCAGGTCCCGGGCGGATCCCACCCTATATTCTCGGGCTTTGGTATGTCCCTCTCATGACCACTGGCCCCTCGTTCCCTTAGAAAGGGCGTTGACTTAACTGAATGCCCGTTCTGCGGGTCGAGGGGCCAGTGGTCATTCCCGCCCTCTTTATCCGCTGGTCTGTCTAGGCCAGGGCACTCCTTCCTTTTTTTTTCTGGTTTCAGGTCGGCGGGTGGGTCATCAGGCATCTCATCCCTCATCCGAAAGCTGGGAAGCAGCAACAGGAGGAGGAGCTTCTCAACTGTCTGACTTGATCCAGCAGGATCTGGGCACTTAACCTCTCATGACCACTGGCCCCTCGACCCGTAGAATGGGCGTTCAGGTAAGTCAACACCCTTTTCTTACTTAAGCTGCTTTTTTGTATTTTTTGTCTCTCTTAATACCCTTCCTTTTATGCCTTCTCTTTCTACTCGTTCTCTTGTGTCTTTTTTGCTTCTCTTTCTCGCTCTATTTCCTCTATTTGATCTTCTTCCTGACTTCTACTCTCTGGCTCTTCCCTGCTTTCTTAGTCTTCTTCTTGTGTGAAATGATGTTCATAAAACTCCTGTGCTTTCTCCGGTGTATCTACCGTATTTTTCGGAGTATAAGACACACTGGAGTATAAGACGCACCTACCTTTTTTGGTGAGGAAAAGAAGAAAAAGAAATCTCCCTCTGAGCAATTTTGCCTCGTTGCAACAAACAGCAAACATCTTGCTTTACTTTCATTTTCGTTTTCAGCATAGCTTGATTACCACAAGGAAAAAGAAATTTGCAAAGAGCAATTTACCTCTTTGCAGCAAGCAGCAAAGCCCTGCGCAAAACAACTGAGAGCAAATCAGCTGAGAATTGGGAGGCCAATCCAATCAACTTGTGTTAATTAGACTGTGCTGAAGCTGAAAGGAGCTGTTTTTTCTTGCTGTTTGCCTGCAGGAGGTAACTGCTGTGAGGCAGAGGCCAGAGGCTGAGAGTCGGGAGGCCGATCCAATCAACTTGTACTAATTAGGCTGTGCTGAAGCTGAAAGGAGCTGTTTTTTCTTGCTGTTTGCCTGCAAGGAGGTAACTGCTGTGAGGCAGAGGCCAGAGGCTGAGAGTCGGGAGGCCCGATCCAATCAACTTGTACTAATTAGGCTGTGCTGAAGCTGAAAGGAACTGTTTTTTTCTTGCTGTTTGCTTGCAAGGAGGTAACTGCTGCGAGGCAGAGGCCAAAGGGTGGGGGCCAGTGGGTGGATGGGGCTACATTCCCCCTTTTAGGGGGGAAAAAGGTGCGTCTTATACTCTGAAAAATACGGTATCTTAATTTTTTTTTCCTTGCCAAGTTATAAATATGCCTTCCGGCACCATCTTGCTAATTGTTAAAAATTGGTACTGTCTTCTCTGGTTTCGTATCCTACGTGGTATTTGTTTCAATGTTAGGATTTCTTTGCCCTTGTATATTATCGGTTCTTCTCTTGTTTTTTTATATATTTCTTATTGTTTGTTTAGTAAGCCTTATGTGAACTTCTCTCGCCAATCTGTGCTTTTGTACATAATTTGTATGCACTCGGTTAATTTAGTCTATATCTCTTCTTATTTCTTGTTTATCCTTTTGCAATGTCTCAGCAAGTATCTCCATCACTGTCTCACCCAAATTCTCTTTTCCTTCCGTAATATTTTGAAGTTGTAAATAATAAGTTGCTTTTTCTATCTAAAGGAAAGCTATTGACTCAGCCAGCTCTCTGTTCACTTGTATAGACTTCTGTTCCATCATTTCCATTTTACAGTCAACTTAGTCCATTTTTGATTCCACTTTTTGTATTCTCTGCTCGTTTTCTATCATAGCTTGCTGAATAATCCCTATTTTGTTATTTATGTTTTTAATATCACCTTTCATTTCTCCAATTTCATTCTTGATTTCTTTATGATGTGTTTTCGTTTCTTCATGATTGTTTGCTATTGCCTCTTGAGTCCTCATCATTGTTTCTTGAATCATTTCCAGAGTGACCTGCATACTCTAGACATTCAATGCCGACTCTGGTTTTTCTTTTCCCAACATGGTCTCTATTGTTTTTTGGTTTGAAGGTGACGCTGTTATAGGTATGGGGTTTGTAGGCCTTTTTTCCCTCACCTTAGATATGGTCGTAATCATTTTTATTGACTGGCTGATATTTCTCCACAGTAACATATAATGGTTAATGGCAAATTATTTTTATAGTTTGAGTTAATTTTCAATCAATACACTCTACCCTTATTTTATAAATATGCTATATATATATATATCTGATTATTCAACAATGTATCAATCTATAACATCAATATATAAAATTATATCTTTTCTTATCCTAATATATGATATAGTTAATAATACACTTAATATATTAATATAAAATACTATAGCTCTAACCACAATGCATATAAATGTATTAGTCTTAAATCCAGATAGCAAAGAAAAGATACAATTCTTAGCGAGGTTTACAGAATTAATTCCCATCAAATAATTCCTAACCATAGCAAAATAGCACAAACAATTTTTAACAGAAGCAAATAGCAAAGGTTAGATGGATTCATCTCAATATGTCCTTTCATTTCCTCCCTTTTCTTATGACAGGATGCTTCTTGTCAACGGTGGACTAGGGGAACATTTAAGGACCATGATTTTTTCTGGTCTAACTGGGGTCAGTGGACATTGAAGGGGTTAAGACTGCCATCCCAGTGATGGGAGATGTAACCATACACTGGATCAGAGGGATGAAACGGGAGGAGAAGGAGACCTCCAAAGGCTAAGAACATTGGAAACCCAATCCTTTTCCAGTCAGAGAAGATACTGCTAAACCAGTTGAAGTCAACTGCCCAGTCCAAGTCTGCACTGGGACGTGGGCAGTTTTCCCCTCTATAACTTTTTCCGGACCATCTATCTGCAAACAACAATTTGTGAGATAAAATTTTCACACCTCCTCCTGTTGTTAACAAAAAGTGTAAAGCAAGTCTATTCTGATATATTGCTATTTTAAACTATAAAGTTAAAGCAATAGCAATTTTATTAGTTATTTCAAGCCCAGTTTGTAACCTTATAAGTTTATTCAACATATAAATGGGAGTTCTATAACCACACATTCCATCTTCTGCCCAGGTGGCTGGTCCATTTTTTTTTTTTTTTAATTTGATTTATATGCCGCCCTTCTCCGGAGACTCAGGGCGGCTTACAATGCGTTAAGCAATAGCCTTCATACTTTTGTATATTTATACAAAGTCAGCTTATTGCCCCCACAAACTGGGTCCTCATTTAACCTACCTTAGAAAGGATGGAAGGCTGAGTCAACCTTGAGCCTGGTAAGATTTGAACCTGCAGAAATTGCAGGCAGCTGTGTTAATTACAGGGTGCATTAAACCACTGTACTACCAATTCATATACCTGAATTATTCTTTCTGGAGGCCCTCATTGTAGATCTGTGGCCTGCTTCCACATAAACAGGTACACCCTGTCGGTGTATGGACAGTAGGAAAAAAAAATACTAAGTATCCCCGCCTGTCACATGGAAGACCGGGGTTTGATTCCCTGACGGGGAGCCATGAAAGGATACATTGACACAAATCAAACTAACACTTGCTATTTGCTTCTGTTAAAAATTGCTTGTGCTATTTTGTTATGGTTAGGAATTATTTTGTGGGAATTAATTCTGTAAACCTCATTAAGAATTGTATCTTTTCTTTGCTATTTGATTTCTCACTCTTATTTGCTTCAAAGCTAGGCACATCCTTGGAGATGGAACAAAATAGTTACCCTGGAACATCCTCTTTCAATTGCTATGAAGCTATGCAGATATATTTTCTTTTCTGCTCTGAATACAATTTTGATTTTTTTTTCTTCTGGAAATTTTGGAAGTTGAAAATGCTTAATTAAACCTATATAACAGAAAATACAATTCTTAGCAAGGTTTACAGAATTAATTCCCAACAAATAATTCATAACCATAGCAAAATAGCACAATATTGGCACCAAGCAATTTTTAACAGAAGCAAATAACAAAGGTTAGATCAATTCATGTCAATGTGTCCTTTCAATGGGAAGTAAGGCAAATTGTTCACTTTAGGGGATCCAGTATAGTATAGGGGTGAAATGCTTCCGGTTCAGACCGGCTCGGGCGAGTAGGTAGCGATGGCGGTGAGCAGTTCGGAGAACCGGTAGCAAAAATCCCTGCCCCCGCCCCCGATGCCCAGCTGAGCCGTGCAATCATCAGAGCCTTTTTTTCTTTTAAATGGCTCTGACGAGTCAAGCTCTGACGATTCCAGCTGAGTTGCCTGCTAATTGGTAACAAAAATCTCTCCCCCTCCCCTCCCTCAGCTTGCTTACCTTAGCTGCTGGTCGCAACGCCTTGCTGTAATCCCTGCAATCCATTGCATCAGCAAGCAACTGAATCTCCCTGCCTGCAATCAAGCAGGCAGGGAGTTGTGGAATTCAACTCCCAGAATTCCTCACCAGCAAAGCAAAGCTGGCTGAGGAATTCTGAGAGTTGAAGTCTACAAGTCTTAAAGTTACCAAGGTTGGAGACCCCTGTTCTATTGGGTAAGTTTTTTCCTCCCTTTGAGAGCTTTAAAAAAATAGTTAATTGGGTTTTTTTTTTAATTGTTCTTTTTTTAGACCTAGCCATTTAAAATTTAGGAAGTTTTAAATTTAACTGCTTTTATATAAAAATAAAATAAAATAATATTTGTTCAGCTTTCTGAGATTTTGTGTGTTTCTGTAGTGTTTCACTCTAACTACACAAACACACAAAATCTCACAAAGCTGTATGTGAAATTTTGTGTGTGTAAAGTGTGAAAGTTGTTTTTTTGGGCTTTTTGTGTCTGTGTGAGGTTCCTGCTTGTTGCAGGGGCCATTTTGGGTCCAGCACAGCTGCTTTTACATTGTGGGTGAGCCAATTACGTTGTGTTGTGTTTTGTAGGTTAAAAAAGGGCAAAGAAATGAGATTGACTTGGCCACGCCCACTTGACCAACAAGCCATACCCTCCCAGTCACATTACCATCAAGCCACCGCCCACTAATTAAGCCACGCCTACAGAACCGGTAGCAAAAAAATTTAGATTTCACCCCTGGTATAGTAGAATTGATTATATTGATGGTCTTTAAGGGATCCTGTTCCCAGATCATTTAAGCATTTAAAGGTCATAATCAGTAACTTTTGTTTAGAAATAAAATATTTGCAATAAAAATGGCAAAGAAGAGTAAATGCATACTCTTTAAAAACAATATTCTAATTATAAATATGGTTCTTCCACAAGCTTAAGGCTCACAACAGGTTTTTGCACAGTGTTTTGCGGGTATACGTACTCTAAATGTAGCTGGGACCAGGTTCAAGTCTAAGAA